CTCAATCTCGTTTAATAAACTTAATAATTCTTCTTCACCTCCTATGGTTTCCTTTTTAGCCAAAACTTCCGAAATTTCCTGCACCAAGGCAATTTCCTCTTGGCGAATGTTTTGGCGGTTTTCAATAATTTCCTTCCGAGCCTTTCTTATTTCCTCCGGAGTTTTAGCATCATTTATTTTATTTTGTTCTGTCGCTTCTAGGTTAGCAAATTCAATTCTTTCTTCATTTTCTACCGCTTCATTTTCATAATCTTTCAAATTAAATACTAAATCACCAGCATATAAACTATGAACTTTATCTTCTCCATTGCCGGCATCGGCCGCATTAATCGCTGGGAATGCTGTATATCAACTTTTTTTATCAACAATTAAGTGTTCAGTAAAGAAATCATTTCAAGGCCCTATTTTATCTCTTAAATCTTTAATCGCATCAGTTAATTCATCCTGTAAATACTCATCATCAGTTAAAACTTTTCTTTCTTGTTCGCTTTCAATTTCGTCGAAGTCTATTAATTTTTTGAGAAGTGTTTCCAATTGACCGGAATTAGTGTTTTCTTCGGCTTCTTTAATTTTCGCTCTAATGCTTTTTTTGGTTTCTTCCGCCTTTAATTCCGCCAATTTCTCCGCTCATTTTTCAGTTATTTCGGTTTTTAAATTGTCTGGTATAAATTCCCGTTCATTAATTTCCTTAACTTGGTCGGTAATTGTTATTTCATTAGTTAATTCCGCTGTCTTAATATTATTTAATAGAGTTAAAGCCTCTTTTAATACTAAATAATCAGTGTTTAAAAGGTTAAACTCTTTTCCTCACTTCAAATCACCCTCAACAAATTCTTTCATTTCGAAAATAACATACTTTTCATCTAGGTCATGTTCTTCATTATGCCTTGTTTCAGTTTTTAATTCTTCTAATTTAGCATTCTCAGTAAAGTATTGGTCTCAATTTCGATTAACTAAATTAATTAAATCTTTAAAATTCGGCACTTTATTGCTTTCATAAGAAAATGTTTGTCAAAGGTTTCGTAGAGTTTTTCTTTCCTCATCAATGCTTCCATTGTCAGCAACAACGGATAAAACATAATTTCAATTTTTAAAGTCATCTTCCATTCCCCTTAAATAATCAATACTGTTAACTTTATTCTCAATATAATCTTTTTCAAATTCAGTAATGGTATTTATTTTTGTGTTGATATACTTTATTTTGAGTGATACCAACCGCAAGTAGTCAACACTTTCTTCATTTTGAGTATAAAACTGCTTTTTAGCGGGGGTTAAAGGTTGACCGCTGAGGGATTTAGCGGGGGTTTCGCTAACTTCCGGAATTAAGTCTAAAAGATAATTTAAGTCAATTTCTAATTTTTCTAATCTGGTTAGGGAAGTATCCGCGGTTGCTTCATCATCAAGGTATTCCTCATTTTCATCAATTTCCTTAAATCTTTCGCCAATTGCCTTATATTCTGCTACTTGTTTTTTTATCTCCTCTTCCAAACTATTTAATCCTCAAATTTCACGTCAGTTAGGCACAACCTTACTATATGCGGCATGTCATTCTTTAAAATCTAAATCTTCTTTTTTTTCATTTAAAGGGAACTCCGCCAGTTCTCTTTCGAAATCTTCAAATTCCTCGGTGGTTCAAACATTTTTTTTGCAATTATATTTAAAAACTTCGGCAAGTTCAGGTATGCCTTTAATATATGCTAGTTTTTTCTGAATGCTATCTAATCTACTTTCGGTTCCTAATTGGCGGTCTTCATCAATATCATCCTCTGTGTCCGTATCATTAGTAAAAGTATTTTCCACAATATCGTTTTTATATTCCTCCCAAATGGTTCATTTAATAGTGTTCTCCTTGGCCTTGGAAAACTCCTCAATCGCAGCTACTCAGGCCTCTAATTTAGTCTCATTCTGGTTATTTTCATCTTCCCCTAATTGTAAATAGAATATTAAACTAGTTTGATAATAATTTCTTTCTCGTTCGGCTATTTCATTTTCGCCCTCCTCGTTTAGTTTTTCCGGAGTTTCTCGTAATTTATTAAGTTTTTCCTTATAATCGTTGGTTTTTGTTCCATCTCCGCCTCCCATTTTTTCACAAACTCAGTCTCATTGTGCTTCATATTGAGTTAATTTTTCGAATACTTCCGCTTTAATTTCCTTATTTTCTTCCTTTTCTAGTTCTTCCGGTTTATCCCAAAAAGAGTGGTTTATTCAACTCAAACTTTCCGCTTCATTTATCGCTAAAATTTTTCAAGCGGCTAATCTTTCAACTTGCTCGTTAATTTTTGCTTGGGCATTTTCAGCTCCACCACAAACATCCTTTCAGGCTCAAATATCAAATCCTCCATCTCCGCGGGCTAATTCTTCTTTTAATGAATTATAATAATGAAATTCAGTTCGGACAGTAGAAAGTGAAATGTCGGTAATAAATTTTTTTATAACTTTTACTCTTTCTTCCGCTTTACTTAATAAATCATTGGTCTTTGAATTAATAAGTATTTCTAACTTTACTGATTTATCAATTTCTAAAGTAGTAAGTTTTTCGAATGTTAATTTCTGCCAAGCGGTTTCATCATTTTTATTAATCGCCAAAATTTCTTGAATAGTTTCTAAAACATTCCGAGTTGCTTCTACTTCTTTATCAGAATGTAAAATGTATTCGGCGCTTTCTGGCTGTTGAGCGTAAAAAATGTTAACTCGTGTTTCCTTGGGGATTAAAGTGTTGTTTCAACTACCAACCGCGGGAGAATGAATGACTTGTTCCCGAATGATAACCTCTTCAATTTCTGTAGAAAGAGCAGCATTTAGGTCAGATTTTTCCTTTTCTTTGATAAATCGGCGAATAGTTTCTTCGGCGGTTAAATCTTTTCCATCTTCATACAAACCAATTATTTCCTTTCAACGAGTTTGGTCGGTGGGGTCGGTCAATTGAGTAGTTAACTTTTGAACTTTCTCCTCTAAATTATTAGAATAAAAGTCGGCATTATCTTTTTTTCACTCAAAAGCGGAGTATAAATGTCCCTGATCAGTGATATAATCAACACTAACCTCACCAGTGTCTTCATTTCTAAGGAAAGTGAGTTTTTTGGCATCCTCAGTAGGAGAATAACCTTTTTGGTCTAATCTAACCAAATACTCAACCGCCTTTTCATCGGTTTCTAATCATTCGGTAGCCGGTTGTTTTTTTAAGTTATCTAAAAAGGTGGTTCAAGCATCGCATTTTTCTGTGGCAGAAAAAACTTCTTCGAGGTCTTTTTTTTGTTTTTTAGTTATTAATGCTTGCTTTCTAATCTCCTTAATCATTTTCGCATAATTTCCATAAATGTCTCCGGTATCATTGTAAATTATGGTCTCGCTGCCGTTAGTATGGTTAGCGATATAATTCTCCAAATATTCTTTTAGTTCGCTTTTTAGTGTTTTCTCAGTAGTTTTGTCTAAAACTTTAGCATGAACCGTTCCAATTATGGAGCGGGCTAAACATAATAAAACACTCCCTCGACGTCCTAATAATTCCTCTAAATTGCCCTCAGGTGAATTATTAATGTAATTTTCTCAATGACCCGTTCAATGGCTTTCTGCACCATTGCCTAATTTATTTAATTTTCCATTTTCTCCTAGGATGGCATCATTTTCAGAGGAGAATGCACCGCTAAAACGGTCTTTAATATTTTTGATAAATTTTTCTTTAATTTCCCTCTCAGTTAAAGCTTTGAGTTGGAAACCTCCATTATCGATTCCTTGGATTATTCAGTCGTGAGAAGAAAAATTGCTGACAAAATTACCGGGTGTTTCTAGTTGACAAATATTATTTTCTAATAGATCCTTTTCAGCATCAGTAAAAAAAGTTGACCATAATTTGAGTTGTTTTTTTTCCTTTCCGTTTTCGGTTTCAATTACGGTAAAGGATTCATAATTCATACCATCAACTTTCCTTCTTCCCTTTCAGCGAAGTAGATAACTTTGCGATCCAGTGACTTTTTTTGAGTTTCCAAATTCAGTTTTCAAGTCGGGTAATTCTTCCTTTGATAAATTCTCACTAATTTTATTTTTAACATCCCTTAATCAAGCGTAAAAGGAGGGTTGGTACGCCGCTTTATTTAGAGGGAAGGCGGAGGCACTAATATCTACTCAGGCTTGGGCTTGTAGGGGATTAAAACCATTATCCGTTCATTCTTTAACTCAATCAAGATTTTCCTCCTTAAAAACTCACTTACTAACTTTAACTCACTCATCTCAGTCGGCAGGACTTATATCGTTCAATTCAATTTCGGTCGGATCGCCCTCCGAATTAAGAATATTAATAATTTTCCTTTCGGCTTTGTCAAATCTTCCTAAAAAAGAAAGTTTATAAACGTGATTTTCGAAAATTTTTTCTAACTCTTCTCTGCTAAAAGCACTAGTTTGGAAAGTCATTCACATCTCTTCTTCGTTTCTATCAGTTGACTCAATCACTCTAAACTGAATTAAATTTCCTTTTTTTTCTGTACACTCTAAAACGTAATTTCTTTTCTTATTTAGTAGATATTCAGTTACTTTAATTAAATCGGCGGCTTCTCTTTCTCTACTTTCTTTTCCAGTAGTGGTAGTAGTGGTTGTGAAGTTTTTTCAACTATAAACACCACTTCCTTTCTCTCAACTTCCATCTAAACTATCAAAATCTTCTTCCATTTTATCCTCAATACCACCATTCAGTTCCGCTTCGGTTATTCTTGTAATGGTTAACAGTTCTCTTGCCCATTTCGCAAATTCTTTGACACTTTCCGCAGCAAGTTCAATTTTCTCCTCGCTAGTATGTTCGGCGAAAGTAGGGGTGTGATTAGTATCTTTTTCGGTTTCTGCTTCCGATAATTTAAGACCTTTTTGTTTAGCCAATTTTTTTAATTCAGTAAGATTATTATATAACAATCGGTATAAAACACCATTTTGCGGAATTGCGGCATTCCAATCTATTACTCTTTCCCCAACTGGGAATTTTTCCTCATCGTATAATTTTCGTAGGATTTGTCCGCTGTGCAAACTGGTCAGAACCAAATCGCCATCCTTTTCAATGACTTCTGCTACACAATTGATATCACTGCCCTTTTTTTCACAGTTAAAAAGTCTATTTAAATCCCACAGATTTTTAAATTTGCCCGTTAAACTGCTTTCCTCAATTTGATTTTCAGAAAAAATTTTCGTAAACTCTTCTAATTTTATATCTTTTTTTAAAAGTTCAAGTTCAGCATATTTTTTTACTTGCTCCCAATTGGTATATCTAATCGTATTGAAAGTGTCTTTAATAAGAGCTTTTTTATTTCCCACTTCCTCCTCCGAACTTAAATCAGTTAATTTTTTGAAGTCGCCAAGTGAAAAGTTAGATTTAAATGTTCATATACCGGAAGAATAATCAGCAAAATTTATTTTTTTTTCGGGTTCTAATACCGCTCCTTCATCCATGTCTTTTCTTTTTAAGTTATCTAATTTATCTAATAATCTTTCATGGTTTAAGTCTAAATGTTCTCGGGCTAGTTCTAAATTTTTCTCAGGGTGGTAAAGTAAAACACTTAACGGATTTTTGGCTACTACATTAAACTTATCTTCACTTATTTTTTGATTCCTTTTAAAACAGGCATTAACTTTTTCATAAGTCATTCCTTCTAAAGGAGTTCCCCAAAAAGTGGGGCGACTACTATCCTCTTCATTTTCTATCCGTTTTTTAATTCTTTCTACTACCTTATCTGTTTTCTTGCCCATTTGGGATAATCTTTCCACTTTTTCCTTAACCTCTGGACTAGGGTCAGTATTATCAAAAAATAATTCGTTATCTGCCGCTACTCATGAACTATCTTTTAAAAGGGAAACGGCAAACTGAGCTCCGCAATCTTTAAATATTTTTTTTTCCACCGCGGCTCAATATTCTTCCTCATTTTTGCCATCTTTGATAAAAGGAGTTCCATGTAGAACATATTCTTTTCATACATTTCTCAATTCTCTTAAATTATTTTTCCAAAAGAAAAAAACACCCTCATCACTAAAATATCAGAGCGGATTTTCTTCAATTCGCACATGTAATCAACTCACTTGTAAACCGCTGGTGGATAAATAATAAGGAACTTTCGGATTTGCCGCTAACTTAGCAAGCATTTGCTCTGCAACTTCCGCTCAAAAATCCACTCATTCGACTTCTGAAGCATTTTTTACAAAGCGACTCAGATCTTGGTAGTTTTTGTCTCCACTCGGCTTAGGAACGACTAATAAATTTTTACTCAGAGAAGGAAAACTTACTACGGATTTAGTAAGTTCTTTGTCGTAATATTTCTGGTATACTTCCGGTTGTGGTTCAAACTCTTCTAGCAGATCCCCCGGTTTGTATACCATGAAACTAAAATCATTATCTAAGGTTTCTTGATTAATTGGCGAGCATTCCCATACAAAACTCCCCCCTTCATACCCTCAGGCATCTTCTAACCTTTTTCTAAAAATTTTATTAGTGCCTACATTCTTATTTTTTAAAGCGGTTAAAAATTCCCCAAAAGTTAATGACTGCCCATTAGGTTTTCCGATTTTTACTTTCCCTACACCATCGACTCGCTTATTTTTTTTGTTTTCCTTATCTATTGCTTTTTTAATTTGTTTGACAGTTCGTAGCATATTGGCAATTCTTTTCTTATATTATTCTTTATTACCTAATACACAGATAATATAATTTTATTTTAAGAAAAAAATCTACTTCATGCTTCGGTTTTTTTTTTTTTTTTTTTGCTTAGTTTTCTGGTGGTTTTGCTTTAATAATTCCTAATTCTGCCGTCGGAAATAAAGGTGAATTAAGGAGTGATAAATATTGATTTTCCTACTCCTCCTTTTTGAGAGATTTAAAAACTATACCGCCTCTTTTCATTTTGCTTATTATTCGAAACTACCACCACTAAACGCCTCTCACTATCTTTATCGTTTTTTTGCTCATGACCTTGGGCATCATCTAAATTAGTATAGTAAACTTCCCCTCTTTTAATTATTCTATTCTCCGGCTGCATCTTTTCATTCGTCAGGATCATTAGCTCAATCGTGGTAATCTTTGGCTATTTGTTTTTCCAATTTTTCTTTACTTAATTCTTTTTTTTCTTGAATTATTTCATTATAAATGACTTGGTAATCTAACTTTTTTTCAGTTAGGAGAGATTTTATTTTTTCTGCTTCGGCAGTTTTAATAATTAGTAATTCAGTCATAATATATTATTTTAACCTTTAAACAATTTAAAAAAAATTTCTGCTTTTGCTTCCAATGGTTTTTTTTTTTTTTTTTGGTTTAGAAAAGCAATTATTGCCCAACTAATGACTATTCCAATAACTCCAATAATTAGATAAATTAATAATGGTGACAATGACATTAAAGTGTTAGATATAGCAATTTTATAATTCCATATCAACTTCATTTCCATATCATGACCATATCAACACCAAAAATAAAAAACAAATATAAAATTAATCATATAATGATCTTATGAACAAAAGAATTAACAATAAAAAAAGACAATAAGACAATAATAAAAATGGTAAATACACAAAAAAAAGTAAAAAATAAAAAAATAATAGACAACAGCAAGAATTTTCAAGTAATTACTCATAGCCTTTACTGAACATGAGACAAAAAAACCGGAAAAGTAAAAGAAGTATGTCGAACAGAG